ATAAAGTGGAGGATAAGAACAGCCGAGGTATCAATATGAGCTTTTAGGTTCTATTCTTACGCTGATGGAGTGCATTATGGACTGGTCTGCATTACCGAAGGGGAGAAAATTCACATAAAAAAAAAAAAACAGTCTTGCAATGAAATGTTTGTGCACTCAAAGTGATTTGCCTGCTTTTACCCAGCTATACTTTTTCAGGCCTTGACACAAGAGATGGGTCGTGTATAAAACCACGAACACTACCCCGGCCCCTGTAATAGTGAACCTACAGATAAAAGAAGTCAAGTCATTTTCCAACTCAAAGAAAAGCCCAACAGCACTAGTGTCCAATAAGGACTGTATCAATGAAAAATGAGCTTGTATTTATTTTGAAAGTGGAAAGCTGAAATATGCACACTATATACAACCAAACTCTATCAAATGCCTATATGGGCTGTATCCACAAGACCACCACTACATTGTGTGTGGGTGGGAAAATGAGTCTCCCATTTCCAGGCTGGCTCACAATGACACTCAGATGGGTTCATACACTCATGGCATTGATATAGCTCTTCATTACCTATACATGTGTGTGTATATATATAGTGGCACAGTAGGTGATGCACAGCAAATCCATTTAGAGAGGCACTTTGATACACACGGCCATAGTCAAGTGTCTGTATGGATGGGCAATACATCGCCTGAGAGATAGAGCAGCTTTCTGTCCTAAAGAAAAGCTGACAATAGCCAGCTTGATAGAAGTCACAGCCTCATGCGAGGGATGGATGACAATAACATCACTCTGAGTGTGGGAGGTGAGAGTGTGGGAGGGGTAACATGCTGCCATTTGTCATGGCAGTGTGGTAATGGGTTAGTCACAGTGTTGTCAAAGATCTTACTCTTGCACCACCTGACCTCTTGTCAGAATAGGCAGATGACAAATCCAGAATAGAAAATCCACTGAAAATCCAACTCATCAACAGATGTGATAAAGCTTCTTCGGCACATTCTTCAAAGAAGAACAAGAAATCAGCATCAATGCAAAGTCAAAGCATTTCATTTTTGAGGTAGGCTTTTTAAGCATAGTATAGACAGCCTCAGGTGATGATTGGCAGTTGTGAATGTCAAGCAGATCAGTTGGTGCGATTCACAGACAGCTCTTAATGATAAATATTTTTTATGGTTGGTGATGAGCAACAGAGAGTCGGGGTGGAGTCCCATTAAACTACACAGGCATTATTCAGTGTTGCGTTCATAGTTTTGGAAACAAACGGGGGCATCACAGCTATTACTGCATGTTTACTCTTGGTGCTAAACAAGATTTGATGGAAAAAAAAAACATTTTCTAACACTCCATCCATCAACAAACTGAAACTCAATTCTCACATTTTCCCAGGCTTTTGCATTGTTTGATTCTGGCTCAGCTGAATAAAACCCAACGGGATGCACTGCTCTTGTTGGCAAATGTGTCACTGCTGTGTACATAGTCTATAAAGCACAGACCAAGTCTCAATGACACTGCGCCAACAAACACACTGATTGTAAACATGTTGGAAATGCTAACTCAACCTTACTTTTCATCAATCCAGAAATCAACAAGCCGGACCCTAGCAGGACTTAAAGGGATATTCCGGCGAAAATTAAGTAAGGGTCAAACACACCGTAACACCAAGTTAGAAAGCCCCTCAAGAGATGAAAGTTGCTGACTGCTTGCTTCTCTAATACCAACTTTAGTAACGACCGCATAATAGCAATAAACAGCGGTCTTTGTCTCCACACACAAACCTCAGCCAAAAAGCCACTCTATAGCCACAAATAATTATCAGAACAGCACCTAACTTCATCAACAGGACATATAGGGTCACAGCCATAAAACATCTTTTTAGCTTTGCCTGGTTCCTTCAGCAAAGAGACCAAACACAACTCACCTACTCTCTTCCAACAGCCGCTTGTTTGTAGGGGGAGCCCTGACCAGTCGATCACCGAGTTTCGCAGCTCAAGGAAGAACATTTATGATTATTACTTCATTGAAATGAAATCAGACCAAGACGCTAAGGCAGAAGAACTACTGTGCCTGCAGTTCAAAATGATTATTATTATCATTATTATGTCAAGGAAATGATCCGCTGCACTCTGTGGTTGACTCGCAGGGCTCCCCCACAAGCAAGAAGCTGCTGGAGGAGAGTGGGTGAGTTGTGTTAGTCTCTATGCTAAAGAAATTAGGCAAAGCTAAAAAGATGTTTGATGGCTAGTACAATGGCTGGGACCCTTTATGTACTGTTGATGAAGTTAGGTGCTGTTCTGAGCATTATTTGTGGCTATAGAGTGATTTTTTTGGTTGAGGTTTGTGCGTGGAGATGTAGACTGCTGTCGAGGGGGTGTCCAACTTGGTGTTATAGTGTGTTTGACCCTAACTTAATTTTACCGCAATATCCCTTTAAACCTCCTCACAAATAGCTACCGTATGCACTAAAATAGTGTGGCCCCACTGCATGCAACAAATCACCCACAAAGTTATGGCCGACCTTGGCTGCCTCTCTTATCTTATATCAGCAGTTTTGTTTTAACAGTCTACGAGGGTTATTCACCCAATATAACACTACAATCTTCTTAATACATGATACATAAGAGAAAAGTTGGTTGGTGCCAAAGTATCCCAGTATACTTTGCATAAGGCAGCAGTTATACTATCCATTGTGTATATTTAACACAATGGATGTAAACAAGCTTACGTCATCGGTATGAAGCTGTATCTTTTACTCATTGCAGCACAGCAATAGAAACTTTCAGGCAGCCACGGGTGGAGACACAAGAGCAAGGACAGGAACAGGAGAGGGAAGGTGTGTGTATCTGTGTGTGCACCTGAAAAGCCAAGGGACAGAATGAGCACATCACTAGAGAGTCCGTAGAGATCAAAAGTGTACATGAGTGCTACCGAGCCAGGCTAAGAGGTGAAAGACATATTTCCAGCTTTCAAAAACATACAAGCCTAAGTTTTGACATTATAAAGGAGGTTATAGAAAAGCTTGAAAAGACTGAATGAGCTCAAATTCTTCATTAAACAGAGTAAAAATATTCAACTACAGGTGAAATCTGGTATTTCATTAATTCAACACTATTTATTGATTATGTTAACGCTCTTAAAGTGAAGTATTGATGCATGATCCTTTTAAGTACTACTACTTCAAGATATATTTTGAAATGGTCTTTTAGCACATTAAACTCTTCTAGATAGAAGTCAGTGTCTAATTAAAGCCTAACAAGATTTTCAACTTTGATGCTGTATGCATTTGAACAATTTTAAACCGAGTTTCCACGGGCTTGTAGACAGTCTTTTTTTTTTAATCAAACAAATGACTGCACTCGAGTTTTGTTTGAAGAACAGCTGACAAGATATGCTGCCATCCATCTTCATTTTCAGGCCATATTCTCTGATTTAGAGCTATTAGTGGCATTACGGAACAAGGCTTTGCTGTGTTACCAAGGAAAAAAATAAAACATTCAAACACACATTTTAGAAAAAAAGTTGGCTTTCCGTCTGTTGTCAGTGGAGTGGCTCCAGGACGCCTCTCAACATTGGCATCCCAAATTGTCGCCAGGGCTCTGTTGATTCCACCGTTGAGAGGCACTTGGTTTTGTAAATATTGGTTGAACTGCTCAATGTCAAAGGAGAAACATTTGTGAATTGTTTTTATGCTGGTAAATATGTATGACCAGCGTCCAATAGATCCAAAGGAGAGTCACTGGAATACCTGTCCTCCCTGAACTACTACCACAGGTTTGACACAATAATGGTTCTGGATTCTAATAATCGAGCTGAAGGTAATTTAAACAGACTACAACACATGCAGGAGCACACACAAACACTGTCACTCATCAGTTTGGCTCTGATGCATAAAAAAACCTCTCCTCAAATGGGGGGAGAAATGTCTCAGTGGTTAAATGAGCTTTCACAACCAATGAGCGCCAAGTTTTACACACACTAACGCACATGCACGCCAGGGTGTGATAATATACTCTAACTAATCCCCTAACACAAATGCACACTCAGTAATACACACACGGTGACACTGCAGAGCAATCAGTGATGGTTCAGTCATAGCTCAGTCATGCACTCGTGGTTCCTCAGCCAGAGATGACTTTCAATTACTCTAAATCTTTGCTCCTTTCTTTTTTCTCTCCCCTCCTCCCCTCGAAAACACTCATTCGCTCCGTCCTTCCCTCTTTACTTCCTGACCTCTTGTCTTTTCCTCTTTCCACCAAATTCCCCCTCTTCATCGCCTCATCTCCCTTTCCCCATCTTTCACCTCCCTCGTCTCTAAATCCCCCGTTCCCTCTCCATCACCTCAACCTGTCTCTGCCCTTCCCTGCTCTGCCAATCCCCTATTCCCTGTCCCTGTCATTGCAGCCCTGTGAATTTGCATTTAAACACTGTGCCTATTCACTGGGTTACAATAACACCGCCGCTCCCCTGATCTAGTCTGAGCACAACAGCAAACATCCGTCCTCTTCAAAAAAAAAAGAAGGAAACACCAAAGAGACCGCGTACGCATCCGAAATGCACACACACTCACGGAGACACAAAGGCAAAGGAAACACACACAGTTTAGCTTTGATTAAAAGTGTAAACAGTGATGTAAACGTGAAAAGAGGGAAGTGTGTAATGATGACGACCCGGAAGTGGTGAGGACACAAACAAAGACATGGCGACAAGTACCGAAACGTGGTGTTTCGCTTAGAGTAGTTGGTAAACACTGATGTGCATCTGAAAGAGATAGAGTGTCAGCGAGGTGCCAGTACGGCCCAGCCGATGCGTCACTCAAAGCAAACAACGGCCCTGAGCGTTTCTAGTGTGTGTGTTGAGTGTGTGTGAGAGAGTGCCGAAGCATGTATGTGTATGTCCCTGAGCTGTCCCCTCAGGACGGGGCGCCAGTCAGCGTCTAAGCGGAGGTGGGGAGCAAATGAAATATTGATCTGTGATAAGACATGAAGTAGTGTGTCGGCAGCTCCTCTCTGTTTGTGTTTATGGTCTTCTTCCACACACAAATCCAGATAACTAACGCTCATGAGTCATAAATGTAGTCGCTGATAAACAAATGTGACAGTGTGGAGAAGGTCTCATTTCTTGGTTATTGTTACACTTGCTGGAAGACTCGAGCAAAGTGGCTCATTAGGGTTCTGTTTGACAGGGAGAAGATGCACATTTGCAAGTCAATATGACTCGCCTGTTAAGGAATATCAGTTGTCTTTTTATTTTACTTACACTCTGTTGAAGTCTGAGCGGTTTTGATCCTGATTTCAATTTCAATATCCGGGGTATGAAAAAGTAAAACAACAAAGCAGCTTTCCATCTGCTATCTTTACCACAAACACGGAAAATAAGCAAAATGGAAATATCACTTCAAATTAGTGTTTGGGGAAAATAATGAATTAATGAATATCCTTTTGGGGATAAATAAAGTTCTTGTTTTGTAGTTCTTGTATTGTTAATACATGATAAAATTGCACAAGGTTCCTTTATTTTCCTGTCAATAAAAAATGGTTAAAAGGGACACTGTTCCGAGTTTACTTCTAACTAAATCTTGATATTTTCATATCCAAATTACAAAGAATGACAGTCTAAAATCCCGTCTTTGGCTCTGTAAGGTGTAAACAGGCATATTTTTTTTTCATTTCGCACGTTAGCCTGCTACCTCTGCTAAGGAGCAAAAACAACACCTTAGGCTGGTTTCAAATCTCGACTATTTAAGGTGCTCCTAAGCTCCTGGCGGCCCGTCTATCCTCAGGTCTTTGCCTTGGTTTACAATTAAATTCAGACTCCAGTTTGAAAATTCTTGTGATTGTGTGAGAGCACTGCATGGTCAAGTACCTGCTCTTCATTTAAAAGCTCCTGAAGCAGTATTACCCCAGCGAGACTCCAGGGTCCTCTGATCAGGGTTTACTGGATGTTCCTTGGTCCAGGATCAAAACAGAACAAAGGTGCATTTGCGGTCATCCAAACTTAACTTAGTAACGGTCGAAGACCTTTTCGATTCAACTTTTCTTTGTTTGTTATGTAATTCACATCAATTTCTGTCAAGATGATTTGCCTTCAAGTCAAATCTGATCTTGAAAGGTGATTTACAAAATAAAAACATTTCCTCTCTCACTAAATCACTTACATACCAAAGTTATCCTTTAGTGTACCATGACATGTTTGTGGCGCATTTCATTGCACTTGAGATGGTAATGTTGTAATTTGGTCTTTGTCTCGTGGAAAACTGACTTTGAAATTGGTGCAAAAGAAACACAAAAGCTTATTGCGACTAGACATCAGTTTTTTATGGTCCTTATCTGACAAAAGTTCCTTTATAAATAGCCGGGAGTGTTTTATCCTCTCTATGACTCTCTTTTCTGTTGTGTTTACCTTATGGCAGCCCCAGGCAGGAAGTCAACAAAATATACCATCCAGAGACCATGAGTGTTTGCACACTGTCTGACTGGTCAATGGGATAGATACAGAGATTTTGAAAGGAAGTAGAAGGAAGAGGAAGCTGCCATAGCTGTCCTCAGTAAAAACATCATCAAACCTCTCTGAAGTTGCTGATATGTTTCAAGTCTGAAGCAAGCATCAAACCACTGGAGTAACAGCACATCAACATAGCTCATACAACAGAACTGGACCTACCTCGTTTTGACCCTAGAGTTTAATTTCTGTCATTTAGACTTTTGCATTTGAATGTTTGCACAAAACCGAAGGAAACCGACCAGGGAAAATCGATAGTGTAAGCTCCAAACTCCTGCACAGCAGTCAAAGCTTTGAACTTCAAAGCTTGAAGCTTTACCAAGTTCTGCCCCTGGCCTAATGTTGAAATTGAAATGAAATGGTCATTCAATGGTGTCCATACTGGATGGATGTAAATTCTAAGATCCCAAGGTTAACATGCATTATAATAATCCTAGAAAATAGATGTAAACTGCTCAAAATGGTTTCGCTGGGAGATCTCGTGACATCTCAAGGAGACTCACTAAACTAATGATGTCATTGCAATCGGCTCTCCCTACAAGTTCATCTGTGCGTCCGGCAGAGCGTAACGGCCTGCCTCCAACAGCATGCGAGGCGACACCCACAGCGGAGCGGGGTAACGCTCCTCTGCTGCACCAATCTATTGATCACAACAGATGGGGCTGGCCCAAAACATCAAGCTCTGCCCTCAGCTGGCCTTCAAAAAGGCGCTGAGAGGAGGCCAATCAGAAGAGAGTAGGCTTGTGGGGGGGGGGCTTAAAGAGACAGCAGCTAAAATGAGGAGTAACAGACAGAGGCTGAAATTATTGTATTTTAATTCAGGTGATCAAATGTTCTGTTTTCTCAAGTCATGTCCTGTTTTCACGTCCTGTCTTAGCACCCTGGATGTTTTTTATAAAGTGATGGAAATGTCCTGGTTTTCACTGTTTTTCATTGGGCCACTGGGATGAGGAAGAAAACTAAAGATATTGATATTTTTGTGGGTTCATTTTTTGTGAATTTGTGAGAGCTACTTCTGTTTAAGTTGGATTGCTAATAAAGCAAAGGTATTTTCTCATTATTTATTACTTATTTATTTTTTTAATACAGAAGAGATATCGTTTCTATCATTATTTTATCTGTTATTTTTGAAACTTATCTTAACTTAAAACATGTTGAGTAACCTCTTAGAAGCCTATCTGAATTTGTGTCTTTGGTTATCAGTAGTATTTGGTAATTTAACAGTTTTCTATCCAAACAGAGGAGGCATACTTTAAATGTACTGAAATTATAAGGCTTCTTTGAATAAACTTTGAGTATGTCATTGCTGGGCTGAGTGTTGTGGTTTTCAGTGATCAAAATATGGTCACCCTAATTTTAATACGCTATCTGCTAAACACATGGCTACTTTTGATCTAAAAATAACATAAAGCTATTAAAGAGGCTCCAGAAAGGAAGTTAAAAATGCATAGTATCCCGTCTTTAAAGTAGCTATGCATCCATTTGTGTGTGTGTGTGTGTGCACGAGAGCGTGCATGTATGTCCACATCCTTCTCCCTCAGCTGCTCATTATCACTTTCAGAGGTTGAAAAGACATTTTCCGCATTCATGTGTGTGTGTGTGTGTGTGTGTGTGTGTGTGTGTGTGTGTGTGTGTGTGTGTGTGTGTGTGTGTGTGTGCATGGTATTGTGTGTTTATGCGTGTCCGTGTGTGTGTGAGTGTTTGGTGACGCAGCTCTGCTCTGTATTCATGTCTCGTGCCGTTTGTGCTCTGAACGAATCTTTTGCTCCAGCGTGCTGGGTAGCAAAAAGAGAAAGTGAGGGAAGGATAGAGGGAGGGAGAAAAGAGGACAGAAGAAGAGTTAAAAGAAAGGATGAAAGCAGAGTAGGAAGGGGGGATTAGGGAGGGAGGGGGGCGCAGGAGGATTGTAAAAGTGCATGTGCTTGGGAATTTCTCCCCCCTCGATCAGGTGCAATGCGGAGGAGGTGTTAAGATCTGCTGAATTTGCTTACCCATAAGCCCTAGCAGGTCGCTGGGAATAGGTCACTGCCACGAGCAGGAAGAGTAGATACCGAGAGTGAAAAATAAAACTCGCATTCGTTTTCTTAAAACCACTTCATTAGATTAAAGCCTATTGGGTGTTTGGAGCGATAGCAATTAGCAGCTTTGGAGCTCATAATTATAAGGACCGTCCAAACATCTCTGTCTCTATGAATTAATGACTGGAGGTCACTGTATAAGCATTAACTTTAATTCTTGGAAACTTCTGTTGGCTGCTGCAGGACTAAATGATACGGTCTCTCACAGCACATCGACTATTCTCTATATGAAAAACTTTCTTTACAATTGATGATGGGATAAAAAACCACCAGGAGTACAGTTTAAAACTTATTAAAAGAGTTGTGAAAAGTTTTGAGAGGTTAACAGGGCACCAATGATTAATGAGTAACTCCACCTTCGATTAGCAGATAATTGTGTATCATCTGAGTAACTAGTGAGAAACTTGTACAAAAACCAATGACCAGGGCTCTTAATGAACACTTCCCTTATGAGTAACCGGCTCGTCCCAGGATCACAGACAGCTTCATAAAGACTGTAAGCAAATGCCTCAGACTTAAACGATAAAACAGGAATTGATATACATGAAGTCAGACTTAAAGGGCATAATGTTTAGTTTATGTCAAAATGAGCATCTTTTGTTTTACAGCAGAGGTACTCACAAAGTTACGATTCAGGACTCCATTTCCACACAGTAGTATGATTCACCACTTTACATTTGGGGTCACAAAGGAGTAATTAATTTTAAGATAATGATAAATTAATGAGGGACTACTGCTCAAAATGATGCAACACTTTTCTTAATGAGAGACAAAAGGGTACCTAATGAAGAGGTAATGATGAAATAATGAGGGGCAGCTCAGTAACTACCTGTACTCACTATTGTGTATCTCTGCATGCAGGGCGAACTTAAAGTAAGTCCAGCAGGGTCACTTATTGTCCCAAAAAGTAATCTCTGTATTATAGGACACTTTGTGACCAGCACAGTGAAGTTTCAGGAGAGCAACTTCAGCAAATTTCAGCACAAACTTTTTTTCCTTATATCTGTTCTGTTGTGCTTTATCCAGAAATCCATGTTTTCCCACAACACCAAGATAGTTGTGTGGTTTATATTGTGATAAAATACTTCTGTCCTTACACTGTGAATGTAAAAGCCAGACTAGGCAAAAGAACTGAAAATTAGAGAAGTTCACTAAATAGATATATTCCATTCAACCATTTTTGCAAGTCTTTGTTTCTCATTTATCAGATGTTTTAGGTTTTCTGCGCAAATTAAACGCGAGCTGGGTGAATATAAATGCACTAACTGATTAATTGTTTGTCAGTTCTGGTGTTATGCTACCTTTGCAGTGAAAAAAAAGGCTTAATAAAATGCAATTTTAGAGACATAATGTACCAGGAAACTCAGACTATTATTTCGAGGGTAAAATTCTGAAGTATTTCAGGCGGTAAAATATAATGATGAATCAGCACAAGATACTTTTTTAGTATCTTAATTCACCTAACATTAAGGCTGGGCGATAAACCGGAAATTTACCTATATCAAAATTTACAACAATAACCAATGTCATATTGGCCGTAACAGTAAATTCGATGTAAAAAAAATAAATAAATAAAAGTTAGTTTCAGATGTGTGTAGGTAGGTTATGGTCTCATGTCCCTTTAAGACGCTGTCCTACATCGGAGATGTGACTCCACCCCATCCAGTCCATAACAAAGAGGGAAAGACAGGTGAGGAGATGGAGGACGGTTCAAAAGTTGTTCTGACTGAAGTAGAGAAAGTTAAAGTGGGAGGGGGTGAGCATCGTCCATTTATCGTTAGAGGTGAACTGCTCAATATGTCGTGATATTGATTTGAAGTCATATCACCCAGCCCTACCTAACATACCATTGGAAAGTAGAGATTTATGGGTCTTCAGTGGCTATAATTCTTTCATCTCAAGACTTGTAATCATGTAACAAAACTTATCACCTGCACATGCAAGTCTGGGACATCTCAAACAGCTCTAACAATGAAGAAATCTAGAGATTGTCCTTGTCTTGCCGGGTGAAACACAATCTTTGTGTACCACATGTTATGCTGTCTAGTTTGAATACACTCTTCTCTAACAAGAATCACTGATGCAATACATCAGTCAGCTAAACAGCCAGATTCACACAGACGGTGGATTCCAGTCCATTTCTACAGCAGCTGGATCTCATTGGTTCATTCATCAAAGCCTGCTTCCTGTCCTCCATCTCCCACCGGAACCAATTTGTTCATAACCCCTTGAATTCTGGCACCCTCGCATCTAGTGTGGAGACAAGGACTGCTTCCTCCATAATTAGTCTGTACCAGACATTACCGTCACAGTGACAAAAACAGGACCTTATCCAGTATGGTCTGTAATTCTGGTCTGCACCGAGGAAGGCACAGAGGGAGACGTTAGGCACATGAAGGGAGGTAAAGAGAAATGATAAGGTATGAGTAAAAAGCCAGTGAAAAGATTAAAAATTTGTTATAATTAGGTTGTGCAGTTAGGGACCAAGGAGAATGACTGAGATGGAGAAAGAAGAAAAGGAGATGAGGATGGCTTGGATTTAAACAGAATAGGAAAACATGGAAAAAAAATATCATGAATTGAGTGAGCAAACAAAGAATGGACCAGTATCAGAGAGGTACAGACAACAAAGAAGCATATCTCTAAAAAAGATATGTCCAGGGTACAAACTTGAAGGTGAACAAGTTTGATTTCTTAAAATTATGTGAAAGAAGAACATGAAGACATTCAGGGAAACGTGTTCCACTCACCAAAGAGGAAAGTGTGTGAATGAGCGAATACTTCAAAAAGGTAAATGAGGTTACAGTAAGAAAGACAGACGTTGGTGGATTATGAAGGCGCTTAGGTATTTAAGAGGCAGGAGCCGTTTTCTTTTCATCTCCGACAAGCTGAGTTTAACGTCTTAATCAAGATGTCTACTTGAAGAAATAATTATACTTGTACATGCACAGCACCATACTGGTTCTGAAACATATAATACCTCATTCCTTCGGTAGATTATCATTCAATAATCGCTACTATACACTGACTGACATCTGACCCAGTTCTTTAAAAGTGTGCAAGTGTGAACAAAGAGCAGAAGTGAAGTTTTTTAACACAAGTGTTGGTGAAGAGCATATTCTAACAGACAACAGCACCATGGACTTTTTCCAGACTACATTCATTAGACTAAAACGGCAAAATTCATGGAAAAATACACATCTGCAGGGCGCCACTGGCCTAGCAATTTAGGGGCGCCTCTCATGTTCGGAGGTTGTGATCTTCAGGCAGCAGGCTCGGGTTTGATCTCAGCTTGTCAACCCCCTCTCTCTCCTAGATCTTAGTTTCTGTCCTCTCCAAACAAATGTAAAAAGCCAGAGAAAATTAAGAAATAAGAATATGCATCCTCTAGAAAAAGAAATGTTGAAAAATAATTTCATGTCATAGTGCTTGAGCAAACATATTGTTCATATTTTTCACATTAGCATTTCCCACTTATTGTAACTATAACGAGCAGTTATTGTCATGTGGGAGTCTGTGGCATGTGAAGTTTATTCCTCCCAGGCAAGACAAGGTCTTTGCAGACTGAAGTGCAACATGTCCTTCTCAACTCACTTTAAATAACTAGATAATTTTTTTCTTCCCTTCTTGTCATTTTAGTTCTAAAAGTGTTTTTTTCTTAACGTCTTTCACCGCTGTCTGAAATACCGGTTAACTACTTCTTTGGCTAATTAGCTTCCATTCACACGTCCTGTCATCAGGGTCACTAAAGGGCCATTGAAATAGTAAGAGAGTGAGTCATATTCTCAAGTAGAGCTATCGTTTTCTCCTTTAGGTTATCCATACTTGACACAGGCATATTGATAAGTATATCACACTTGTCAGGATACTGGTATACTATTGATATTTCATGCAACCTTGAAAGAAATATGCTTTGTTTATGTCTCACTCAAGACACGATAATGAATTTCAGTCTATTTCAACCTCTTCAAAGGAGCTTCAACACAATAAAAATAGGAAAGCAGGAGTGAAATGAAAACTCAGATCACAGAGATTCAGTTAAAAACTACATGTACCAAGTTCTGGGCACACAGTTGTTTATAAAATCAGCTTTCTCTGCCCACAGGCATAGACTTGACATGAGTCTATGTATCACCAGCTTGTTTTAGGGGGAGAGAGGAATCGTAGCTTACATGTGAGATCCTTACATTTTGCAATACTGTGATATAATACCATCACCACAAAAAGCAGGGAAAAAAATTTAAAAACTGAAAAGAAATTCTACTTATATCGCCCACTACCAGGTCCCACTAACGACATCTGCCATGGCAGCAGTAATGTAGCATCACAAATACTGGGAGGAGGTAAAGAAACATTGTCTGTCTTTGTACTGCAACTGCTCCGGACTCAAACAAAGCTTTTTAGTAAGAACTGATCACAAAGAGCTTGCATGTAGCTCTTTAAGACTATAACAAGCAGGGTAAGCAGCTGTTTAACCTAAAGAGTTTGTTCTTGCATTTTTGAAGACTGCAGGAAACCACAGTATCAAAGAAGTACTGTGGAGCACAGTTGCCATAGTGTCAACATAAATATTACATTAGGGCAGTTAAGATTTGCAAAAGCATTTTGGAAAGATACAGTGACTTAGAATGCAACTTTGTTTGTGCAGAGAAAAACTCCAAAGTTCAAGTCAGGGGAAGCTGTTTTAACTGCCCGTCCTTCACAATTACATGATGTTTTTATTTCAGGAACAGGAGAAACAACATCATGTCCAAATCACGACTGGTTTGACTTAACTTGCAGAAACAAAGGAAGGAAAGACAAGCAGGTGGATCATCACGTACACAACATGTCAGAGAAAGAAAGACAAACACTTTCAGAGAGACTTGACATCCTGAGCTCCGGGTAGAGCGATTGAGGACAGCGTCTGGTGTAAAAATAAGCTGTGTTCTCCAGCAGGTGTGGAGCTCTGAGGTAAGATCTCGCCCTCTATGATTGCCACCTGCACACAAAGAAGTACCACTTCCATGTACAATGACAGTAATGATAGGATAGCGGCTACAGCCTGTACCCTCTTATTAAAACCTGCACGCTCTCTTTGTCACACGCTTAAGGTAAGGTACAATGAGGACCACATACACAAACTGCAAATACACATATCTGAGCACAGCAACACTCTATAAGCACGAGCAAAATGCAAGCTGTAGCCTCATTACCCTTCTCTAAACATCAGTGGAATAAAACTCTAATATGGAAAGAGGGTGGAAAAGGTTAATAACCAGCCTTATTAATTTAGGATTAAATAGGCTGTAATGAAATCACAGAGCTGTGCTCAATAAACTGTTCAGTTTCGCACTCCAAAGAAGTACCCACCATCGGCTGCTGATCTAACCCTGTCACCGCTGTCGCATCTCTTTCAGTGGGGCTTTTATTTTGTTATTTATTCGGTTATTTGGGGGAGAAATTAAAGGGTAATTGAAAGAGCAGAAGTCATGTGACCTGGAGGCTCTTAGGCCATTGGTTGATGAAGTTATCTAATTCTAGCTTTAGGGACTTCAGCCACAAAGCATGATGACTCACAATGTGTAGGATATAAAACAGCAAATGAAAAGTTTTGTGGAAAGGTTTTTAAATGAGGCACTTGGAGACAAGTTGCGTCAGTCAACATCCGAGAGTTTATTTTCCATGTCTCTCGTTTCTGTATGTCAATCAGGGTGACTGAGTTTGATTGCTGGAAGTCTCTTATCGTGAATCCCATTTGGTGGAAAATGCCACCGAGACAGTTTGAAGATCAGTGTTCGATGGATATTTGCACAACATCATTAACATCTCATTTCGTCCAACAACAACAGCATGAGTGGGACCCAAATGTTAATGAGTTGTGATTGGACCTTTTACCTTGACTCGTACACGACCAAAGCGTGGAAGAAGGACCCCGGCAAATGAAATGTCCTTGTTATTACAGCAATGACTCAGCTACTTATGGCCAGTTAGTTCTCATTTCAATAAAATTAAAGTAAGTCTTTTTCTTACCATTAAATCTGTTCGAAATGATTTAAAACTCATGATATTTTAATGTGCAATAAATCCAATTTTAGTAGTGAATGGTTCACAGGGTTGGGGCCTAATGAGGGTAAAGAAGATGGAGGGTGATACAGCCCAAGCTCAAGATAGTTGATCATCAATGAGTCAGCATCAGCACGAGGAAAACCAGGGAGTTAACAAATCTTACTACTTTTTCAAATTAAATATCTCCTTCATTTCACAGCGTAATGTTTGTTCTCTGAAGCATTCATGTTTTAAAATCATCTTCATTTTATCTGAATTTCAAAAATTACCGAATGTGGAGGTACAGGGTTCCTAATGGGCTACTATGATGATGAAAATGAAACTAACTTGAAGAACTAAAGCTGGTTGTATGTATAGTTACAAAACTTCAACCACATTTACTTTATTTATTTGGCATTGACGGAGTTGCACACTTATATACATGTTGAAGAAGAGCAGCAAGGACTGAAAAGAAAAGGCTAGGCAGTCCGCAAATAGGCGGATCATGTTTTACTTGGGATCTTGGATTTGTTGGTTTTCTAGGTGGTCCCTTAAAGGGATATTCCGGCGTAAAATTAAGTTAGGGTCAAACACACTGTAACACAGAGTTAGACAACCTCTCAAGAGATTGAATGTTGCTGACCGCTTGCTTCTCTCATTATACCGACTTTAGTAACAACCACACAATAACAATTCAAAGCAGTCTAAGGAGCCATAAACAAACAAACAAAACACCACTCATAGCCACAAATAATGCTCAGAACAGCACCTAACTTCATCAACAGTACATATAGGGTCCCAGCCATAGTACTAGCCACCAAACATCTTTTTAGCTTTGCCTAATTTCTTTAGAGAGACTAGTCATAACTCACCTACTCTCTTCCAGCAGCTGCTTGTTTGAACGGAGACCTTGGACCAGTCCATCACCGACTGCTGCGGGGTGACGCAGCTCGAGGAAGAACAGTTATGATCATTTTCTCGTGGAAATGTAATCAGACCTAGAGCCTCTTTGCTAAAGAAATTAGACAAAGCTAAAAAGATGTATGTACTGTTGATGAAGTTAAGTACTGTTCTGATCATTATTTGTGGCTATAGAGTGGAGTTTTGGTTGAGCGCGTGGCTCCTTAGACCGCTGTGTACTGCTATCGTCATTACTAAAGTTGGTTTAACTAGAGAAGCAAGTATGCGGCAACATTCATCTCTCAGTGGGGTGTCTAACTCTGTGTCACCATGTGTTTGACCCTAACTTAATTTTACGCCGGAATATCCCTTTAAGCCTAGTGCTTATTAAAACCAGAAAAAAAGCCTGATTTAATACATTAATATAATTATGATGGAGCTAACATAGTATCCAAAAGATTGGTTGATATAACTGTATGTATATTAGTTGAAGACAGAAAGTCAAGTACTGAGGGCACAGGGTGCTGGTTCACACTGTGTGTAGTTCACCCACTTATGTCACATTGTGGAACATTTCTTAATTATTTTAATCCTCTGCTATGTCTCCAGAATCTGACAGTAATTGACCTTCTGTGCTCTAATTTACTGCAAGAAATTTAACCCAGATCCCAACTTTATGGAGTGAAATTATTTAGAGAACAGCCACAGTGCTGATAATATGTTCTAAGCACCAGTAAAAAATGTCTTTGCTGGAAGCAGTAGTTTTATTTTACCCTTATAGATTGTGTATCTGGTGGACAGACTGCGGCCTTTTATTACAGATGGCACAGAGGACTATTGTTTGTGCATTTGATTGCAGTCAGGTAATAGGGACTAAATGTAACTGAGTGTCAGTGTAACTTTGCAGCTCACTAAGGAGAGGAGAAAATAGATACACATATACAGATAAAGGTTGTTGCACACATCTTTAAATGTTTTTGAAGGCAGCTTTAAGCGTTACATACCCTTGATTATGTATGCATCATTAATTATTGAATATATGCTCCCCTGGAACAGTACATCTCTCTTTTCTGCTTTCTGTTGTCTTTGTTGCTGAATACCAAGGCTTGACATTTGCCTTTTTATTATCTAAACTCCTTACTTGAGGAAAGAGAACAAGACCTGCAGTGATTATTTCAGGGTAGCAGTTTGCTGAATTTGTTATTTACAGTGACACAAGCGCTCAGGCAAAGATGAAATGTCAGTCAAATAACATTAAATCTTTTGTTATGTGATTTACTTTGAACTCAAGAGTATTTCTTGGGGAGTTTGGAGAAAAACATTGCTGTTTATGTTTAAAGCTCCTATAAGGATTTTTTTTTATGTTTATGAAACAGACTGAAATCCATATTAATGCTTTTTCTTGATATAAAAAAAGCAAAGAACATCAGTGTCAAGATCTGCACTTGTTATATTATCATTTTTAATGGGGGGTGGGGGCGGCAAACTCAGCTTGTGCATTCAAACCAACAAATCAAAGAGCGTATGGTTATTAGCATACATTGCCATTAGCATTAGATACTAGCATACATGAGCATTTTCTTTGCTATATTTAGGACAACACTCAATATACTACTTTTTAGTTACATCACAGCCAAACATCCATCGATGACAAACAAGTAATCAATGTGGGGGCATACACCAAACTGAGTCTTTTCGCCATTTTTTTATGAGTAGATCCATACTTTAAATGTGGGGTAGGCAGGAATTCGTTAAAGAAGCATTGTTTTTTGGGGGGTGTGTATACAAAAAAGCTTTTAATATTAGTCAATAGCTATTGGTTGTCGATGACATTTGGGAATACCATAATATCGCTGTTTTGGTATGTCTGTGTAGTCACCATTTTAAAATTTGAGCAAGCCGCTCTTTCTGACTGTAAACAAAGCCATTCTCCACCTTACCGACCTGATTGGTTTTGAGGCAGACACTGCTTCCTTGTGTTGTGAGGGACGCTCCACAAATAACATTCACAAGCCCAAACAAAGTTAGCGTGCTACATTATTCGACAGTACAAACCAACCAGGAAGTACAGAAAATTGTTTGATTTCTCCTTTTGGTCTGGTGGAATAACGGGCGCTTAAAACGGAGGTAGACCACCCAGACAAGAGCTAAAAAGCTGGGTATAAGTAGACTCTTCGAAATCTTACAGACCCTGTAACTTTTCTGCTGGACAGGTAAATCTCTTTGACAAAGTAAGCCAAGTGTCTGTAACAGACAACTTGTCAAATGGGACCTGCTGCGTGTTGTAGCGCCGCTAAACTGTTTACCTCGGGTCCTGGACTATGTCACTTTATCCAAGTTGTAGAGGTCCTGCTAACATTGTGTTTGCTGGTAGTCTGTTGGTATCTACAGTAGCACTAATGCTTTTTACTTTCACATTGACTGGGCCCCATTTGTAATTATCTGAAGGATTTATCTGCATTATATCTGGACTTAATCGGAACGATACGAGCGAACAGGAGTGGCTGTTTGTGGGCAGGGCTTGCTGGAACAGAGAGGGAGGGAAGAGGAGGAGCTGAGGGGAAAACTGGTAGGGAGGGGTAATGTTTACATTCAAGATTCCTCCCAAAAACTGGCACTTCCTCAGATCTGGCCTACCCCACCTTTAAGGATAAATATGCACAATATTCATGTGTTTAATTTTTTAGCAAGTTGTTTCCAATAATTTCCTCATGGTAATACCTTCATATCACACTGGTGCAGCAACAAAGGCAGCGGAGAGTAAGATTGCTGGCAAGAACTCATGAATCTGAACAATATAGGATTTTGACTTTTAAGCTTAGTTGTCTTTGTACATGTTTTATGAAATGGGAAATGTGCTCAACAAGTTTATAAGACCTTAACAATACCCTGTCGGTGTTTTTGAGCAGCGCTGAATGCAAATAAAACTGAAGTTTGTGTACAAGTAAACTCCACTGGGCCACTTTAACAGCAGAATCCACAAACAGAACTTGTCGAGAACTCATATTTACCAGAGTGATCCTCAGAGAAAGAATATTGTGTTCACTTTATATCTTTTACTCTCACTTAGGAAGGAGCGAGTTTTTACATTTGGCTTGATCACTTCATAAGCACTCTCATCTGATGTGTCTCTCAAGATATTTCCCATTATGAATAAGCAGGTAGTGACAGAGGCATTCATTTGTCCCTTAATTAGATCTAGATTCCTTTTGTATTCTATTTTCGAATGTTTGTCCTTCTTTTGACAAGAAGAAGGTAATGGAAAGAATATGAGAAATGTGAAAAATGGATACGGTTGGAGTAATTTTCTAGTCTAACCACATTTAAAGAAGCATGAGGGAAAAATATGGAGCTTATACTATTACTGGACAATTTAAAAATGCATTCATAGATCCACAAATATGTAAACAGCTTCATTCACAGATGCAGGTATGGGTGCTCGGATCTGCAAATTCATTTTTCCTTGAGTTATAATCAATTGTTATTGTAAACTCGATGCTCATGTGTGGTTAATAATAAGTGAACTTCCACTGGCTTTGGAGCCCATTTATGTGTTAGTCTCGGGTTGTTTTCACACATTATAGTTCAGGGGTCTCGGTTTTATTTAGGGGTGAAATAGGGACACTGTTGCTCTTTCTTGTGGTTTGGCAGCATGTACGAGCAAAAGGTGAGATCGCAAGCTGTCCAGCATGTTGTTTAAACATGAGATGAATGAACGGGAGCAAGAGACCACAGTGTGTTGCCAGGGTTAAACAGATACGGAGCAAAATATTGACAAATAGATTCACTGAGCTTCCTGCCACAGTTCTTCAGATGGTCTGCTGTGTCTTCACACATCAAATGAACAGCACCGGGGCTCACTTGGAAGCAAGCTGAGATCCCAATATTTAAGTAGACAAATTCAAACAACAGAGGACTATTTTTTCCCTTTATTTTACAATCCTCAGATTAATTTTCAGTGACATACCCACAGATATTGATAAATCCAAACAAGGGCTGGGCAATATATCCTCAAATCAATATCACGATATATTGAGCAGTTCACCTTGATAACAATAAATGGACGATAACTATTCCACAATTTGCTCACCCCCTCCCACATTAATTTCAGGTACTTCAGCCTCTCCAACTTTTGAACCGTCCTCCATCTCCTCACCTGTCTTTCCCTCTTTGTTACGAACTCGATGGCTTGTCACGTCTCTGACATAGGACAGCGTCTTAAAGGGACATGAGACCATAGCCTACCTACACACATCCAAAAACAACTTTTATTGATTTTTTCGACACCTAATAAATTGACATGGGCAAAATGACATCGGTTATTGTCATAAATATTGGTATCTGTAAATTTTCGGTGTATCGCCCAGCCCTAAACCGAACTATACGAACACAGTGTAAAACACATCAGCAAAACAAGTTCATAATCAAACTCTACTTTTCTGTGATGTAATGTGCATGGTAGGACAACCAGCGTCAGACTCTGTCCTTTGCTGTCCGTGTGTCATAAGTTTCAAATAATTCATGAAGTTCAGCCATTGCCTTGTGCATAAATTTGGACATCTGCTGATTTGGACAGATCATTTCTGCTGTACAGAGGATACACTGACATGACTCAAAGAGTGTCCTGTGTGTTTTTTCTGTGTTTTCAGGGGCAGAAAGAAAAGGCTGATTATGGATTAAACTGCTGTAAACTCTCTGTGAAATATAACATACAGAACATGCAAACACACAATTTAGAGATAAGTTGATTTAGTTCATGGGTGTGAGTAGGTTTGTTCTGCATAGTGGTATCATTATGGTTGCTGATGATTTGTTCCAGGAAAAGTAGACACATAAAGAACATTAACAGACCTAAAATCGACCCTTGAGGAACACCTTGACTGAAATATGAGGAAAAATAAGATGGTCATACCATAAGATCAGTGTAATCCCTTTGGTGCTAACCCATTATTCCAGACACTGAAGAAGAAGTGGTGTGATCCACAATATTCACTGATTTGAGAGCGATTTCGCAAAAATATTAAAGGGATATTCCGGCATAAAATTAAGTTAGGGTCAAACACACCATAACATCCAGTTAGACACCCCGTCACGAGATAAATGTCGCCGACCGCTTGCTTCTCTAGTTACATCAACTTTAGTAACGACAGCAGATGGCAATACACAGAGCCACGTATTCTGACTCACCACCTCTCCTGGCTTATGTGATTGCAGCACTATTTACTGTTACTCATAGGAAGGATTTAAGAAGGATGTCTGTGTACCATTATTTAATGCAGAGCAAATGAGTGATTATCTCATGTTTAGTGAAGTGTTCTGTGCTACACCAGTGAAGCTATGAAATGAATCAAATGTTAAAACAGTTTAAAGACACGAGAAGCTATGCATCATGAGTAGCTATATGGCTTATATACAGCTATGCGGTTCATGAATAATACTGTCCTACAACTGTGGCTGTGAATCTTACAGTTATTGAGTCCAGTTCAGGAGGAAAATCCCTGTTTTTACCCTAGTGTTAAAAATCCACATTGATTTGTGCATAGAGAGAATAACAGCACTGATGAAAGATCTTTTTTGGGATTGTGTTTTCCTTGGTGTTTTATAGCAGAGCCGACTGGGCCTATGAAAAACCCTCACAGACTATATTTACTCCCAAACCTTCCACCTAATCTTAAAAGTGTGTTTTCGCAAGCGACTGTCAATTATTTTGTTTGCTTTTTTCCCCCCTTTCTACTTATTTCTGTCTGTGTGGACGCAGTAAATATAGTTAAGATATCAGGACAAGAAAAAATTAACGGCATTCATTTTCGTGCTGTTTGAAAAACAACTTCCCCAGACTTGAAAATTGCCTGTGCCTGCTAATCCATCACAATAAACAGCAAGACTTAATTTGATTTTGTTATACTTGGTGTGTTATTGTTGCCTCATAGGGAGTTATGTTTTTTTTATTATTCCTATTAATTCACACCTACGCTTTGCTCATTGTCAATCACCTGACAGCCCAAGGAAAGAGCTGAAGTCTCCAGGAGAAAATCGCTCAAACTTGGTGACACATCTGTATCCTATCAGTCCAAACACGGGGTCAGAGCTAACTTTGGGATTTCTTTGGATCTCTTTTTTTGTGCTGATGATACAAGCTTTAACTAATGATGCTTTTCTACTTAAGAATAAATCCTAGCCTGAACTTCACTTAAAGTACTTTGCCGGCCAAAAGTTCCCCCT